GTTTAGGAAAGTTGATGGATTGAAAATCATTGGTTAATTAGTAGGAGATATAATAATCAGAATTTAAATTTACTGTCTTTTCATTGGTAATAATTTTCTTAAGAGTATAAAATAATCTTTTTATCACAGCTTAACCTGTTATTCTTATGATACAAAGAACTTTTCACATGGGATGTAGAGATGAGATATAATTTGAAATGAGACTTTAAAGTTTTATAAAGCACAAAGATATCACAAAATCTTGACTTTTTTATCCAACAAAATCATTAAATATTTTTTGCTTTCTCTTTATATATTAATGGAAAGACCTTTTCAGGTAATCTCGTTCACTGGTGACTAAAGACTAATGTTGAGGTATTTATCTGTGATAACTGTACAGCAGCATAGATATAAGTGGATAGACATTTATATAATGTGGCAGTTTTGGAAATTTACTTAGCTATTCAAAGAGATTTGAAATTTCATTATTCTTTGAAAAAAGACCTATAGGATTACAAAATTAGTTTTAATTTTCCTTGCTTTTCTGACAATAGATTTGAGCTGCATCATATGCATGCTTAACTTGCTAACTTTGACAGTATTCTTTTGCTGCCCCTCAAAATTTACTTTTCCTAAAAACTTGTCCTGCTCTTCATTTAGGAAGCTTATATGTGCTGTCTCACAATTACAGTTCCCATTTCCCTTATAGACGGTGAATATCTCACTGCACTGAGTGTGATCTTTACACAGAATATGCATGTTTTAAACAACATGACCCTGTATGCAAACTGGCATCTTCAACTGGTGCTAAATGTTTTGCTTTAATAATTGAGGAAAAGTCACCTGTATTGAGCATATTTGAGAGATGGCAGAGTATGTTCTCTAACAGATAACCCCTAATCAAGAAAAATTAATGAACTGCAATTTTTCCCTCATAACCTTGACTTTGCCAACAAACCCCAGGAAATGGTACTATTTCATTACATTTTACAATGATGTGATTTGTACTATGGTCATTTATCACCTGAAAGAGAGTTATTTTGGGGGTTGGAAAAGTGAGAGACATAAGAGATAAATCTCCTTTCACTTTTTTTTTGTCTATCCCTGACCTCTAATTTCTTGTTTTCCCATCTCAAGATAAGAAAAAGAGAGGATGTATCTCACAAAAAGTTTTAAAATACCAAAGTGGGGTTTTGAGACGTTTTTGTGGGAGATGAGGATTTGACCACACTTATAGAAAAAAGTAGGCAATAGAAACCATTGGTAGACTTCTAAATGCACATGCAGATTTTATCTTAGCATGCATTTTTACAAAATACTTTATTTGTATTTATTACTGCCAGTCTCTTTCCTCACATTCTGTGCTCCTCCTAGTGCCACTTATTGTGCATTTTTCCCTTATCATGGTCATGTTATAATTCTGAGAAATAAATTTTATGAGAGTATGTACATTTTCACATAGAAAGCAAACTCAGCGGAAGATATGCAGAAATTGGTAACAAATAGCTTTATAAGGTATATTTAATTCTAAGTACTAATTATTATACAACAGTGAAAAGTAGTATTTTCTATATTTAGCATGACAAGATTTTATTGAGCATCTACCATGCTGATGGCACTGTTCTAGGCAACATTCAGAAACTGTATTACCATCAGTCACTAGAGAGCAACAGCAGTTGCTAAATAATTCTTATTTTTGTTCTGTCAAATTTCATTTGAGAATTTAAGTGGCCCGGCCCTGGACCCTGTCTTTAGGAACCCTCAAGATGGGGAGATAAACAGTTAAGGAAATTTTGTTTTTTAAAAAAAAGATGAAAAGAAATAATTCTAAATAATACATTATTACTATTTAAAGCTGACATCTGTTAGCACACTTTGTTAGAGGCTATTCTAGTTATCTGTTGCTACATAACAAACCATACTAAGACTCAGTGGCCAAAAAGAGCAAGTTATTGTCTTTGTGGTTCTGTGAATTAGTTAACAGCTGGGCACTTCTTACTTGGGGCCTCTCATGAAGTTGCAGTCAGACAGTGGCTGGGAGTGAAATCATCTGAAGGCCTGACTGGGACAGATGCTCAAAATAGCTAGCAGTGGATGGCTGGCTATCAGCTAGAACCTCAACTGGGGCCATCATTTTCTGTGAGTTTCTCACAGAAAGATGGCTGAGTTCCTAGAGGGAGCATCCTAATAGCAAATGTTCTACCTAGGTATACCCTACACGACTTCTTATGACCGTACATCTCAGAACATCATTTCTATTATATTCGCTTGGTCAAGCAGGTCACTGAGTTCAGCCCAGAATCAAGGTGAGAGTAAGACATTACCTCTTGATTCCTGAAAAGCCTCTTTTCATTTCATCTGTGACTTGAGAAAACAATGTTAGAAGCCACAACTTCCTGAAAGTACTGCCCTTGTTTTTCTCAGCCTCTCATGAACTAACTGCATGACCCAGGTTTATGCATAAAAAGATAATTTTGCAGATGAACATAGTTTTTCCTAGGGTGCCTATATACCCAGTTTGCCTTGGATAATTCCAGTATATGCCTTCCGTTCCTGTACTATGTCCGCTTGGCACCCACTTCACTCTCAAAAGGGTGCTTGCATGGATGATAAATTATACAGACACTACGTTTGTTTTCAACTTCCTTTTGTCATTGAGAGGATAATAGCCATAGTACACTTAACTTTAAATTCACTTATTACTCTTAAATCTTTTAAAAAACACTGTTTTGATCATAATCTTTCATTAAATTTTAGGATTTCTCAAAATATAACTAGCACACTATATGTTTTGTTTATCATCTGTGTAAACACTGGAAAACTGAATTGAAAAAAATGCAGAGTAGAATGAGATAGTTAATGCTAAATTTTTGTGGGCCACTTTTGTTGAATGCTGCCAGTGTTATACACAATTCTGAAGTGATTTTATTTAGTTTATATTTAAATAGATACTGCTGTGTTGGCATACATAGAAGTGTTCATCAGCATTTATAATCATCCTGATTGGCTTTGCTGCTCTATACTTTTTATGACACAATTGCCAAGTTTGTTTTGGTGCCAGAGATATCTTTGCCTTGGTTTTAAGAATGTGCTGTGGTCAGCCCTGGCCAGGTAGTTCAGTTGGTTAGAGCATCGTCCCAATATGCCAAGGTTGCCTGTTTGATAACCTGCCAGGGCACATACGAGAAACAATCAATGAATGCTAAATAAGTGGAAAAACAAATTGATGTTTCTATCTCATTCTTTGTTTCCCTCTTGCTGAAAAGAAAAGAGAAGAGAAAGAGAAAAAGAAAAGGAAATCAGCTGTGCTGAAATGTCCAAACAGGATCAGTTAATCATTTCAGAGCCCCTTTCTCTGTGACACTTTCCAAAAGTCACCACAAGTTTAGATTCTTACTTTTAAAAAAATGGTTTGCTTTCTGTCTGGGTAACTCAGTTGGTTAGACCATTGTCCCAGTACTCCAGAGTTGTGGGTTCGACCCCTGGTCAGGGCACAAAGAAGAATCAATTGATAAATGCATAAATGAGTGGAACAACAAATTGATCTATCTCCTTTCCTCTCTTTAAAATCAATAAAAAATTAAAATTAAAAAGTGCTTTAAAACCAATACACCAGGAATTTTCTTTAAAAATTTGGTGGAAAAAAAATTTGGTGGTATAAATGTCCTAAAATATTCATTCACTGAGGTGAATCATCAATGGGTTATTTTAATGGTTTTAACTTTATTATTCAGATAATTCTTTTTATCTATGGCCTTTACCAGTGCTTTGAAATGATAGCATTGCGTTTTTGTATCACCGTGGTTTTCTTAACTGTAAATATTAGCATGGGGTCACAGATTCTGGCTCTTAAAATAAGTCCAACTGTGAAAAATGCAAAATCTAAATAATAGTGCTATAGTATATAAGTATTATGAAAATTACTACTTTAACCATTTTTAAATGTACAGTTCAGTGGTGTTCAATACATTTTTCATGTCATACAGCCATTACTGGTATCCATTTCCAAAACTTTTTTATCTTTCCAGGTAGAAACTATGCATTAATATGAGCTCTTCATTCCTCTCTTCCTGCCAGCCACTGGTGACTTCTGTCTACTTTCTGTTACTATTTATTTGCTTGTTTTAGGTCCATCATATAAATGAAGTCATACAACATTGTCCTTTTGTGTTTGACTTTTCAAAATAGAGCTCTCACTTTCTGCCCAGCATTGTGGAGTTTTCCCCACAGCAGACCTAAGTAGATCCCTTATTCTAGTATAAAGAACTCTACTCTATGTACCCTTCTAGTATATAGTTACTACTTCTCTGTCCTACAAATTTTAGTTCCCTCAGCCTTCCGAATTCTCGTTTCTTTCCGCCCAACTCAGTGAGATAATTGTTCTCTTCTTGACACTGAGATCCAGAACTGCCTTTAGGCAGAAACTCTGTATTAATATCTGGAAGTGCCTTTAGGTAGAAGTTGAAGCAAAGATTTGGCTTATCTAATTTGTATTCCTTCCTAGAGATCATCATTATGAACTAAAAGTTACCTCAATATACAGGGGTTGGCAAAAGTAGGTGTACAGTTGTAAGTATCCAAAACAGTTTATTCTTGTATTATTCATTATTGAATTATTTATTTGTATTACAACTGTACACCTACTTTTGCCCATCCCTGTAAATTTTACTTAGAGTTTTCTAGTTTTGTAATTGTGTATAGCAGGAGTATAAGTCTGGTTCCAGTTACTCTATCATGACTGGAAGTGGAAGTCTTGGTCTATCATTTTGTTTTCAAAACTTTTTTCACTCAGAATCAGCGTAATGTGCATTGTGATTGCTAATGAAGAGAGTCTGTTACTCTTGTTTGAAAGTTTAAAGGAACTTGTCAGTGCACAGTTTTTCAGGTGTCATTAATAAAATTTAAACTCCTTTACCATATTCTCCCTTTTGTATAATAGTCTGTTGCCTGTTACAGTTAAGGGGCGGGGGAAGCTGGATGTACTACTAATTGATTGTTATGTTACATGTCTTATGTTTTAGACCTAAAGATTGTCTTCGGTCCATCATGAGGAGGGTGAACCATAAAGATCCTCATGTTGCTATGCAAGCTCTGACTGTGAGTGATTTGATTTTAGTTACTACCACAAAATTATCTGCTGAAATTGAGCCCATTTAACTTTGGAATTTGTGCATTTAGCTTCTAGGAGCTTGTGTATCAAACTGTGGCAAAATTTTTCATCTAGAAGTATGTTCAAGAGATTTTGCTAGTGAAGTAAGCAACGTATTAAACAAGGTAAGGAACATTATTCCCAGGAATGAATTAAGACAGTCTTTTTTCTTCATACATTTTATTGTTCAGTTCCTTACATTTTAAATCACAAAGAACTAGTCTGTGTTTTAAAAACACACAAAAAAAAAACAAAACTCTTTCTAGGCTATGTTTATCATATATGTAAAAGTTAGGTTTTGCTGAAGACTTCAGATTTATATGAAGAGAGTTGGTTTTTTCAAGTGAAATTACAGTTTATTTAACCTCTTTATCATTCTTTTCATCTAATAGGTAAATATGTGTATTTCTCTTTCTGATTAAATAATACTTGTCAATTTTTAGGCAGTTTTTGTAGCCACAGAAGTATTTTCCTAATGTAGCAGTGTTCAAAAACACTGCCAAAATATGGCACTGTTGAGTTTCATCTTGATGTGAATAAGGCCACTACCTGACCATCACTGGATTTTAATACTGTACTGTCTACCTGCCACATGTAGAATAAGGAATTTAAATCTTGCAATGCAAGGACTTTAAAAAAATTTAAGTTACTAAGTAATATGTGAGTTTTCTCAGTAAAAATTTATGCATTCTGTGGGTTATTTCTGTTATTTTTCCTGGGGGTGGGAGGATGCATTATGTATCATGAAAAAATTGTGAAGTCTTAAAAGGGAAAATGCCCTTTTTAAAAAATAAATGAGTATATCAGGTTTTCATAGAAAACAATACAGAAATGACATGAGAATTTAAAATTCTGTACTTGTTTTCAAACATGGTTACATGATAAAAAATTTTTTATTATTCTGCTTTAAAGTTAATTTATATTGGGCTGGCCAAAAACTTTGTTTTTTTCCCGTAAGATGGCTCCAGTAGCACTAATTTATTTTTAACTTCATTCAAAATAATTTTGTTAGATTGTAGTGTGACAGCTGTCGTATCAGCATGCATTTAAGAAAAGACATCAAAATTGGTGAATTTTTGTGAAGCTATCTTAATATTGAAGATGGAAAAAAATACAACATTTTTGGCATATTATGCTTTATTATTTCAGGAAAGGTGAAAATGTAATTGACATGCAAAGATTAGTGCAGTGTATGGAGAAGGTGCTATGACTGATTGAACGTGTCAAAAGTGGTTTGTGAAGTTTTGTGTGGAAATTTCTTGCTCCACAGTGCTCCACAGTCGGGTAGACCAATTGAGGTTGATAGCGATCAAATCAACACATTAATTGAGAACAGTTAACCTTACACCATGCAGGAGATAGCCAACATACTCAAAGTATCCAAATTTATAAAGTTATTGGTGCAAATGAAAAACGTGTCTTTTATTTTATGGAAAAAACGGACTTTTTCACCAAACCAATATTTAGCTATTTTCTACTAAGAACTGTTCTTTTAATATCCTGAATATTCACCAAGCTGTACCACTGTTTATGAAAAGATGATAATGTTTTCTATAATTCAATTGAAGATATAATACTCAAACTTGTACTTAACATGAACAAGTATTTTGAAAAACAACTCTGTATAGGAGAAAGGACTTTTCTTTATATTCCAAATGTTTTAGAATGAACATACTGGTTTTATACTTTAGGTGAGGTAGTATTTTGAAGAAATAAAGTTTCCAGGGATAATGACCTACAGTGGACCTCAAATCAGATCTTAAATAATTAAGCCACTTGGGAAAAACACATGGTAATGCATGTTAAAAGTCAAGAATTAGGAATCAAGGAAGTGTACTATTTATTGTTCCCAACTTATTTTTATAATATTGGTCTACAAAGAACAAAACTATTTTATCTCCCTGATGTACAAAGCTTGCGTAGTTGCAAAATACTCTCAAAAGTTCTCTGTTTCTGACCTTCAAAATAAGTTATATATTTAATCCATTTGAATTTGATGTGAGGTATTTATGGTGGTATCTTCTCTTGTTTTTTCATAGTGTGAAAATAAAATTAGTTTCTTTTTAATAACCAACTATACTTACTTATGTATTGTTTACAATTAAGAGTAATAATTTGTGCTTTAAAAAGAGATCTACAACACTTCATAATTTTTATATGTAAAATATCTATATTAAATAACTAGCCAGGAAATTAGTTTTTTTTTATTTTTTGGTATGGAGAACTTTAATGAAAACATCACTCATGCAAAAATTAAATAACAAAACCATAATAAATGACTTAAAATTCAGATTGATATTTCTCTATCAGCTCGTTTTCATAAGAATTGTTTTTTTCCAGATAAAATCTTATTAATTTTTTTCTCTATTTTTAGGGTCATCCTAAAGTGTGTGAAAAATTAAAGGCCCTTATGGTTGAATGGACGGATGAATTTAAGAATGATCCACAGCTTAGTCTTATATCAGCAATGATTAAGAACCTTAAGGAGCAAGGTGTTACATTTCCAGCTATTGGCTCTCAGGTATTTTGTAAAGTTGTGTGTGCACTACAGTTTGTTATTCTAAAGTAACCATGTTTATTTGAATTTTCTTCCCCTCCAAACCAAGGTAGCTTTGGAATTTTTGTTAATAATAGTAATAATCTCACATTTAGAGTTGCCAGAAAAATATAGTGGAATATTAACATGTTCCAACTTCTACTTTCCCACTGTTTCTCCTTCTTTATAAATGAATTAACATTTTGTAATTAAAATGTTTAAATTTAGTTTTAACAGTATAGACCAAATTAAATCATTATATCAGGTAATACAATCTTGCTAAATGCTCTTAATACTATGGTTTTATCTACAAAGAATGACGGCTCAAAAATGGGGATATCCTTAAAATCGAAGGATGAGTTTAGAGGTTCTTTTGATTATGAAATTCATGAATACCTATATTAAAATTGAGAAGATATAAGGGGGTCATTGGGAAGGGAAGCATGTGAAGCATCTTTTCCCTTAATATAAACATCTTTTTCCTTTCTTCTAATAAATATGATTGGCTGTAAGGCTTAATATTCCTTTTGAAAAAAAATTATGTAATGAGACCAATCTCTAATTTATGTCATGAAAAATGAAACAGTACCTCTTATTCTTTTTCTGTTTCGGGTTACCATCCTTTAGGGTTCCCAGCCAATCAAGGGGGCTTAAAATATGTGGTAGTTCCCCGCTGTATGCATTGAGTGGTATAAAAGCATGAGCATAAAACTCAGCTGTGGAGGGATCCCTTCATCCAGACTTACATAAACTTTCTTCACAAGGTGCTTCTAGTTTATCTGTGTACTCTTTAACTGTACAGAACCAGACATATACTTGGGAGAGGAAGGAAGGAAGGCTGTTTTTCTTTTTACTTGAAAAAATTAGACTTATGAGTAGTTTTATAATGATAAATTATATCTTTTAGAGGTATTCATTCATAATTGACAGCTGGCTTTTACTACTCTCAGTAATTTCTAAAATTTGTATAATTAAGGAATAATTTTATGCAGAATAATCCAGTAGTCTTATAAGTTTCTTGACAATAGAAGCAATGTTCAATTATCAAAGTACATTCACTACAGAGACGAAAGAGACCTTAGATGCTTAGTGGAATTGCTGTTTCTGTACCCAGAGAATCTATTCTAGAGCTTGTGATTCAAAATGTGGTTCATTGACCATCATCAACATCACCACCTGGAAGCTTGTTAGAAATGCAGCATCTCAGGTGCCATTCCAGACCCATGGATTTATTATCTTCATTTTAATAAGATCCCTGGGTGGTTCTGTTTGCACATTGAAGTAGAGCACAGCTCTCAGTGCATGTGAAAACTGTATATCTGTCCACAAAGGGACTTATTTCTGTAACAGAAGGAAGAAGATCTGTTTGATATATAGCATTGTTCGGTTAACCCAGAATCTCAGGTAGTGGTGAGAACAACTTTAGGAACTCTCTAATATAATCCCATCATTTTACAGATGAGGCACCTGAGACCCAGAATGGTTAAGTGACTTGCCCAGGGCCACAGCTAGTAGTTGACAGAGCTGGAAGTAGAACACAGGCCTCCTGACTCTCAGTCCAGTGTTCTTTCCACTACATGATCCTGCCTCCTGTTTGATATAGAGGTTAGTGGATATGTGTCTGTCTGGACTAGGCTTCAAAGGACAAGAAGTGGAGTGAACACTGGCAAGAGCATTTATTTATTGATTGGCATAGAAGTTAGGTCACTCTCCTGTTCAAAAGATTAAGGACATAGATCAGTAACAGTAAAGTTAAGAGTTACTTTTCTTCTTTTCATCAAGATGTTATAAAATATGTAAAAGCTAATTCTGTTATAGTTGCTGTCTTTTAGCCACAAGAAATATATAAAATACATATAAAGTAAAATATGAGGTAGAATGGTGATTTTTTTTATAGTAGTTTCTGAAAAGTGTATCATTGAAAACCCTGTTTGTAAAGAGCTTCGTGTTTAATGAAAAAAATGTATCATTTAGGCTCAACTGTAGAATAATACCCTGTAGATTTTGAAGTCACTTAGTTGTTTGTCGTTACATTTAGTCGTACTAGACCATTGTTAATATACTTAGCAGAAACCTTTGAAAATATAAGGATTTTAAAAGTATTTTTTAATCCATGTACAGAAAATAATATATTAAGAAAAGTCATACTTTAGTCACCTAACTTATTTATATGCTGCTGTTTTTTTTAGCACTAATTTTTGACGTAGAGATAAAAATAATGTTACACTGCTACTGTATTTGGCTAGTTAATAAGACAAGTGTCACTGCTACACTTAGAACCTGATGATGGAAAGGAACTTTGAAAAGTGTGCAATTCAGGAATACAGAGCTTAATGCAGCTTGTTCTGCGGCCTTCTGGACCAATAGAGATTTCTTCATAGACCACAAAAGATCAATGTCTGCTTTGTGAAATTCACCAGAATGTGGAAAAAAAATTTATACAGTATGAAAAAGGTTGCCTCTGACCAAGAATACTTTCATTTTTTAGAGTCACATAATTATTAAAACATTACAAGAGGTGGAACAGGATTGAAAGTGCATCAAGTTCAATTCAGTGAACTATAAAAAGCATTTTTCTAATCAGCTTTTCTAAAAATAAATGCCTTGTGCATTTGTTTGACATAAAATATACTAAGTGACAAATAAAGAACTATATTTTACTATCATATTTTGCCTTTCATTCACTCAACAATTATTTAAAAATTAGAATTCCATTTTTTATTGGTTGCTTTGGGAATTATAGAGTATACATACATAACTTTTTAGAGTCTATTTTGACTTAATATTGTATTATTTCATGTAAATTGTAGAAACTCTGCAACAGTATAGAGTTTATGTACTCCTCACTTCAGCATCTTATACTCATCTTACATATGACATCTATTCTCCTTACATACATTATAAATCCTGGAAGACAGTGTTATACTTTTTGTTTTAAACCCTGAATGGCCTTCATCTTACCTGATTCTGGAAACTACAGGTGTTAATATAACCCTCCTAACATCCTGTAGTGTGTAGATGCTATTATTATCCTCATTTTGTAGGTGAAGAAGGTGAGGCACAAAAAGGTCAATGTATCCAAGGTCATACATTAGAATGTGGTGGATCTGGCATTTGAACTCACGTTTGCCCGACTCCAGAACCTGCTTCTGTAACTACCATGTCACAGTACCTTGTTTGAAAGTGTTATCAGAGAAATACAGAGGAGGGAATGCTTAATTAAGGGGCTTAGGGATGTTTCATTGCGAAAGTGATACTTTAGCTGTTTACTGACTGATGAGTTGAAACTCAACAGGGAAAAATGTGAATGGAGTAAAAAGAGCCAGAGGGGAGGACATTTTAAGTAGAAGAAAATGTGTCAGAGGTGTAAAAGTACCCGTATATATGTATGTTATGTATGTATATATGTGTGTATATATTATATACAAATGTTATATCTATATGTGTCCTAACAGTTTCTGGCAACTGATAGAGTAGTTGAAAATAAGACTGGTAAGGTAGATTGGAGTCTGATTTGCCTTGATTGTCATGGAAAAAACTAAGGGGTCAGTGAGGGTTAGAAAGCTTATAATTCCATAAGCGTGAATCAATTTATGTATTTATTTACTTGTATACCACCTGACTTACAAAATGTTTATGATGGACAGTAATATATTCCCAGAATTAACTACCTGTATTTTGGTGTACCAAACAGTATAATTTTATGTACATTTATATGATATATAAATCTGGGTCCCTAAAGATAATACCCTGATTTTGATCTGGAAGCAAGCAATAAAATGTAACTCCTAAATACATATTTAAAAAATTAAAAAAAATCTTTTTAAATGGTCATCTACCTCCCTCTCCCAGCTCCTTTTCTCGTTTTAGAATTTTTCTAGAAGTTTTAAAATCTCTAGTCTTTCTTTTTTGGTTTGTGAACTTTTAAGTAATGTCCTTACACAAACCTGCAACAGTGTTGTTAAGCTGTTGGCTCTAAGTATGCAATTGCTCTGAGTCTATTTTCTCCAGTGCTAACTCCTCTCCTCCTCAGGCTGATCCAATTGGATTTCTTTATACTTCAGAAGTTTGTTTTAGATTGACAAGAAGGTTCTTGCACCTTTGTAGATTGGAGTAGGAATATTTGAGATCAACACTCAAATGTTGTGTTTCTTTTTTTTTTTTTTGTTAGGCTGCAGAACAAGCAAAAGCCAGCCCTGCTCTGGTAGCCAAGGATCCTGGTACTGTTGCTAACAAAAAAGAGGAAGAAGATTTAGCAAAAGGTATGTTTTTAAGTCCCTGATGGTGGCAGGAAGATAGGTCTCTTACTTAATATTTTTTCTCTGAGATATTTTTAAATAAAAGAAATATGACTTTACAGCTAAAGCTGAAGACTCCTTGGTTCTCCTCAGTATCAGAAGTCTACCTTCCTCTTCTCTCCCAAGGCGACTACTATCATGTATGTCATTTCAGTTAACATTTTTACTACACAATTTACCCATAAATATCTATAAACAATACTAAATACTTCTGTGTCCCACAAAAATTTTTTTCATAAGTAGTATACTTAGATACAACCTGCCTCTTTACATGCAACATTTGAGATTTATTCATGATTAGACACACAAACCAAGTTTATTTGTTTTAATTGCTGTATAGTATCCTAGCATATTAATAAACATATAATTTATCTTCCTACTGATAAAAAATGGATTTTCTGGTTTTTATTTTTTCTATAACAAGCATGCTGCATTGAATATCCTTGTACACGTTTGTGGGGGTGCAGAGCCAAGGGGCTCTTTCGTGTGACTAAAAGTGAAGTACTGTTGGCTCAAGGGGCAGGCACATCTTCAGCTTGGCCAAATAGTTTTAGGTACTCTTCCATCAGCAATATATGAAAGCTATTATTATTTTTAAACTCCTGACAACATTTGGGATTGTTAGAGTTAGAGTTTTATGAATCTGAGAGGTTTGAAATAATGTCCCATTATTTTAAATTTTGTTTCCTTTACTACTAGTGAGGTTGAGTCCGTTTTTGTGTGTTTATTAGCTGTTTTGATTGTCTCTTTTTCTGTCGAGTATCTTTAAAAAAACAATGATATGTAAAAAGTCTTCATTTTGGATGCATATCTTTGCCTGTTATATCTACAGGAGACATCTACTCTTGACTTTTGGCATATAATTTTACTTGGATAATGTGTTTTAAATAAGTTTTAAATTTTGATGTGGTCAGATTTTTGCTTTTCTGTTATTTTTGCTTTTTTATGTCTTAAAATATTTTTTTCTACCCCAGATCCTAAAAGATATTTTCCTATATTTTTTAATAATAGTTTTAAAGTTTTATTTTCTCATTAGGTCTTTTATTGATCTAGAACAGAGGTGGAGGTAAGAGAGGGTTAAGGGTTGATTGAAAGCAGAGCAGTCAATCCCTTAAGATCACATTGCAGAGCCTGAGTGATATACATGGTGATGGCTTGCAGTGGAGGAGGAGTGGTAGAGATAGGGGAGATGCATTGAAATCTATTTTGGGGAATTTGTTAGGTGAGACTTTACTGTAGTTACTCTAAATTCCAGTTCCTAGACTGATACCTAAGAATTACCTTTGGAGCAATAAAATACTGGCTCTCAGCTACTACCTTTGAGGCTCTTATTTCGTAAGTACCCAGTGAGGCTTGAGACTCTTTACTTCCCAACTGATTTTGATTATCATTTTGGGAATTTAAGCTAGAGGAGTACATTAAAAATATAAAATATATCTACAGCTAAATTTTAAAAATGGATCTAAGAGTGTACATCCTTGTTATTATCCAGAATTATTTAAATTGTATTTGTTCAGTAAAAATTGTCATCATGCTGTTCAATTTTTTAGTTTATTTTTTTAACTTTGAGTTATGAATGAATAAATAAAATAGATAAAATGATTTTTATTCAATATATTATGTCAGGATATGTCCTAGATTCTAGCTGCACTATTGAGAGAATACTTTTTACCTTAAGATATCTTTTTGTACTTTTTTGGGTTATTGGCTATATTAACATTTTTGGTCTTTTTACACCCATTATTTTCTAGCCATTGAGTTGTCCCTGAAGGAACAAAGGCAGCAGTCCACCACCCTTTCCACTTTGTATCCAAGCACATCAAATCTCTTAACGAACCACCAACATGAAGGCCGAAAAGTTCGTGCTATATATGACTTTGAAGCTGCTGAAGATAATGAACTTACTTTTAAAGCTGGAGAAATTATTACAGTTCTTGATGACAGGTGATGGAACATTCATATGAAAATATATAGCACGTTACTTCTGTGTTTCATAATATTCCTGTTGGATGCTTTCGCCAAGTACAATTAAAAAATATGTTGACCCAGCTAGTTCCTTTGTTTGACGGTTGCTATGCTATTGTCATACTAGCTGGATTCTTATTTTGTAGTTTAATTTTTTTCCTATCTGTAATATTTAAATAGTTTGGTTTGTTTTGGAGGCCTTGTTTAATCTGTTCATCTTTGGTTTCCTCTAATAATATAGATTGTTAAATTAGTAAAAAATTAAAATTTTTAGAAAATAAGTATGTATATGTATTTATGAAATTTGTAAGAAATACAAATATAGTGAATTTATTTATCATTTAGTGTATTGTTTGGAACAAATTCATTTTACACGGAGTTATATACATTTACATTATCATGGGGAGTGAATCAGTGCATCTTTCTTTTACTACAGCTTTATGCTTACATGAAAATTACTAATAATGAAGTATTAAACTTTGCAAATGGTTTTTAAAAAGATTCAAATAGATTTAAGGTTATTTCTGTAATATCACACTATAATACAATTTCTTGAGTGGAAGAAAATGAAGCTACATTGAAGTTGTTTTGCTGAGAATTGCACAAAACCTTGATTATTTATGCATTTAAAATACTTATTGAGAGTTTGCTATTTTTTCTTATACCACACACTGGGATACAGTGGAGAAAATGAGTATGCACCTGGAAGTGCGTTCCTTGTGAATGTCTTGTGCTATAAACAGTGTACCTGTCATATGTGTTTTCTTGTGGGGAAAAATTGGCTGATATATACTAGCTAGAGCACCGGCCCTACCATATATCTTATTAACAAAAGATTCTTGCATTGGAGCCCATGAACCACCTGAAGTTGACAGTTGTTCAGTACAGGGACCTTTTCTGGGGGGAAAGAGTTCAGAGCCTCATATTAGATCCTCAGAGCCTTCACCAGCCTTCTAAAAGATAAAGAACTGTGTGTTTAATGCCTTTTTATTTTCTCTGAGGCCTTGTGTGTTTTTTATAATAATGATACATTCATTTCCTTCTTCACTGGATTGTTGTGGGATTTAAATCTGGTTAATAATGTAAGTTAAACATTATAAAAATGGAAAGACATAAAAATCTTCATTTTAGACTTTTTTTTTCCTCTTGTTCCTCATAGTGATCCCAACTGGTGGAAAGGTGAAACTCATCAAGGCATGGGGTTATTTCCCTCTAATTTTGTGACTGCAGATCTCACTGCTGAACCAGAAATGAGTAAGTATTTTCTAGTCTGTCAGTGTAAGGTAATCGATAATCCTCTTCTTAATGAAAGTTGTGTAAATTCCACTTTCTGGAGCTGGGACTTTCAAATGTTAGTGCCTTCAAGTTGTTTATTATAAAATGCAGCTTCCTGGTCAGTAGATCATTTACCAGAAATCATCTAAGAATTACAATCATTTGTCTACCAAGATTATCTTTAGAGAAACTATGGACTTTTTCATAGGAAAGAAAACATACGTGTTACATACGCACATATATATGTAGATATATGCTGTTGTAAAAATGCGCATTAAAAAGTGTTAATGAATTTATGCATTATGTATTTTCATTATCATCATTTGATAAAAGTGTGACAAATTCAGTGTAATGTCATAGAGAATTCTTCCTGTTCAAGATTGAGACCGTTTCTCTAGTGTTCTAGCCTCAAACTTAGAAGCTGTGGCCTCTAAGCAACAATAATGGCTATCCTAAACCCTATGACAGATATTCAGCAGCAACCATAGCTAGTCATATGGTTTTTTGTTTGATTTCCTAATCTTTGCTGACTAGGAGAAATAAAGAAAGTGGGCCCAAGGAAGAAGTGGTAGTACTGACAGGCGTGATAGTTGTCGGAGATGTCACTGACAGTAGCCTATCAAAACATTGGTAGACAGTTGGCTATATTTCTTCATTATCCTGTACTTTAATGAATCTTCATAATAATGAGTTTCAGTCATCAGGATTAAGTCATTATGTCCCTCTGTTTAAGGAAACAGATATTTTAGTCTAGAAAGATTTCTATTGGTGATTGAAACTTTTAGAATTCTCATTTTTTTAAATTGTTCAAGTACTATTGTCTTCATTTTTCCTCCACCACTTTTGCCTGCCCCACCCACACCCCTACCCACCCTCAATCATACCCCCTTTGGTTTTGTCCATGAAATTTTTAGAATTTTAAAAGAATTTTTGGATATAAGTCAGTGAGCTAAAGTTATCTGACAGAATATCTTAGCTCATCTGTCTATATAATGACAGGACAAAGAAATCAAAGTTATAAACTGCAAGATGCTTAGGTCTTTCTTAGTTTATAAGAATTTTAAAAAGAGATCTTTGTGTTAGTCATCTTTTTAACTAATTATTATTAGTTAAATTATTATTATTAGTTAAGTTATAGTTAGTTAATTATGATAATTATTGCCAGGTTGTTTTTTGACATTTTTATAGAGACAGATTTCTGATACTCATTCCTCTTTAATGGAGTTGTTTATTGTTAGAACTCAAAGAAACATGTTGTAGAACCTTTTTTAGATGGCAGTGCATACTGTGCTGACTTTTAGCTTGGGTTGATGGTGGTGTTTATTTTTGTTTGTTTTTGGGAGTTTGGGTTTTCTTGTCCTGAATCAACTGTTGGAAAGGGTAAAATTGTCTTGGACTTCTGTTCAGGATGAGATCCAAGGGCTCATGTAGATCATCTAGCCATTTTATCTTTTTTCTATGATACTGCATCACAGCTTTAAAATGAGTATTTCAACTCATCTCCTGTGTTTCACTGTGGAACACCTAAAAGAGAAACAGAAGCAGCAGAGCTTATGTAATTGTTTTAGCTCTTGAGTTTGGAAGACGAGTGCTAAAGGGATCCTCAGAGCATCGTTTTTTTATGAGGAAACAGAAACCTACTTCACTTGACGTGTCAAATAGAAATACCTGGTCTCCTTAGCTTGTTTATGTTTTGGAGATGCAGTTAGATATTGTGAAAGCATTTTATCTTTCATGTATATAAAAATAATATGTTTATATATACATATGTAATGTGCACCTACACGTGTGAACATAGTAATGGTATTAGTTTCTATGAGGGAAAAACATTGCAAATTTATGCATGGTCAGCTGTTAGGATGTGAAATCTACCATGTGTCTGTTGTGGATAGCAGACAGTACAGTGGTGCTCTCCCGGCTTTCTACATATTAATTGCTCAGGATATAGAAAGCAGTATATATAGCAGATGTCTCTTTATTCCCCCATGGGAAAATGAAATCAGCTAAAACTTTCTGAAACTTTTTTTTTTTGTATGTAGAATTTTGCTTTATGGTGACTTGAATGGGATGAATTAAACAATTTCCATTTTGTGTGGCATCACACAACACAGAATATATAAGTGATGTGACTTCTTGTTCTCAGAGTAAAATCACAGGCCAGATTCCAGTAGTGTGGGCTAGTAGAGCCAGATAGATTGGCATTCAAATCCAGGCTTTGTCATTTAGTAGATTTCACCTGTCCAAGAATTTATAATCTTTCTAAGCCACTGTTAAACCTCATTTATGAAATGAGCATATCTCATAAGATTGTAATCTAGATTCATTGGAGGAAATGTATGTATTCCATTAAGTACATTTAATAATTTAGTAGATATTATTTCCTTCCTTAATTCTACCCCATGCTTGCCCCCCTTTTATCTTGATTGTTAATATTTTTATGAATACTGATTGACCATGTTGCTACAAAGAAGAAAAATCCAGAGAGGAAGTTCATTTCATTTAAGTTGTGTTGTGCCTAGGTATTCTTTTGGAGAAGATTAATTGCTATATTAATCATATCTGTATGTGTACTAATTTATCTTGACTAGATTTTTAAAGTTTGCTTTGTTGAACAAGGGAAATACGTTTTTCTGACCAGTGCCTTTTGGATCCCTTAATAATCATTTTTTTCATTGCAAAGTATAATGTAACTAAAAAAAAAAAATACAGGATAATATAGTGGAAAATTCTGATCTCTGTCAAGGCCACTTGACAAATTCTCCATTGTCCTGGATGTCGTTTTCTTAGTGAAAAGTCAGAGTAGCCTGCTGGAGAACATACAGTTACCTTCCCAGTTTATCGCATTGAAATAGTACCGTCTATCAAACAAGATTTTTCTTTGAAAAGATGGGTAATTTAAAAAGAGGATTTATTTAAAATTATATCATTCATTTATGCCATTGTAAAACTTTGCTTTTTGTTCATCAGTTTACTGAACTCTCTTGTGTAATAGATGATTATTCCTTTTTCTTTCTTTCAGAAATAGATGTCTTATTTTTTGTAGAGTATCATTTATGGAAAATGTAAATCTTTAGAAGAAAAAAATTAAGAAATCTTGACATGAACTAATATTCTGTCATTATTGCCTAAATCTGCAACCTAATTATTCTTCAAATTGAGTCTCTTAGCTTAAGAGGAATATTTAACTCAAATACACTCTTGGAACTTAAAGTGTTCTCAAATAGAATTTTAAATTTGTTATAAGGAAAAGATAAATATTGCATGTTTTACAGTAAAACCGGAGAAGAAGACGGTGCAATTTAGTGATGATGTTCAGGTAGAAACAATAGAGCCAGAACCGGAACAAGTCTTTATTGATGAAGTAAGTGATTTCCTTCATAAGAGTGGTTCATACTTGGTATTGAGGTTGAAATGTTTTTCTTGTCTTCTTTTAAAAAATTAATTTATAAACGTATTTTGTTATTATAAAAATATAAATAATATAGCCCCATTCTTACCATGTCAGCACATAGAGTTGTACCTCATTTTAAATTTCTGCTTAGTATTTTATGCAATGGATATATCATGATTTGATTTTTCTGTTGTTGGCACTAAGGTTGTTTTCAGTTTTTTCTGGTGTTTTTTGCTATTACAAACACTATTGTGAGATTTGGGGGAAGTATATTTCAAAGAATGTGTAACTGTTTACAGTGTCCACATTTAAAGCCCTGGGAATTATATTCTTGGTATCACTTTAGGCTTATGATGAAAAGAGATGTTATCTTTAAAATCTGTGATGGGATTTATAGGTTTTCAGCCTTTTAGAGGAGTCAGAAGCAGAAAGCTAGGAGAGTGCTCTTTCAGAGAAATAAATTGTAGAAAACTGCTAGGAGCCACAGAACCCAACTGAGTCAGGGAAAGTTAATTAGCTGGTTGTGTTACATAAGATAATGCAGGTAGGGTCAGTTTAGGCTTCTATTTTGATACCTTATTTTTCTGACAGTAGGTAATTTCAAACAGGGTGTAGTATTCTGCAAACACAACACAAATTATTCACATGTCAGTTGCTCTCTCATTTTACAAGACTTCTTCCCCCCCACCTTCTTTTTTTTTGGCTGTAGGCAAACTTTTCTGACATGTGCCTTCTTTTTAAGACAACTTACAATGAACATTGTGAATCTTTTACATTGAAAAATAGTACTCATTTCAAAATATAAAAATTTTTCACTTCATAAGTTTTCTTAAGCTTCTGAGGTCTGTATTTTGATTTTTAAAAACCTACATATAAATACTTCATATTTATATAACATAGAGATAGTTATGTAATGATGGTTTCATTAGGCCCATTGGTTATTACAACAAAAGAATCTGAAATAGATCTAAATCATTGCCGTGAGATGCCTCCCAGCCTCTTCCACGTAGAAGAATAGAGAAACCCAAACTGAAACATTGGTGGAAAGAAAATGTAGACTAAGTCTTTATGGCCCCACATAGAAAGAAAACAGGTGTAATATAGCTGAGCTATGCCTTACTAAAACAGCTGTCATATTCACCCTGGGGAGGAAGTTAATAACTGAGTTGTTACTCATAAGTAACGCCATCTTGAGAGAGAGGTCACACCTGTTAGTATGTCAGGGCTACAGGTACTTCAAAATAAAGTGAAATTAACTACCATGATAAAAGAGATTGAAGAACTCACATGTTGTATGTATAAAGGTGGTTCTGTTTCTTCTCATTTAAGAGAATCTCTAAGAATTTGCAAAAACAGGTAGAGCTTTCAGGGCTCTTAACTTCACATAAAGAGTGTACACAGATACTAAATACATAAAACCCAAATTGGAGTCTCCATATCTGTGAATTACAGATGTTCTCTCTTCGCTATCTGATTTACAAAGTGAGAACGTATGTTGCATAACGATTTGTTGCTTTTTATACTATTTAATTCCTGTAGGATAAAATGGACCAGTTGCTACAGATGTTGCAAAGTACAGATCCCAGTGATGATCAGCCAGATCTTCCAGAGTTACTTCATCTTGAAGGTAAACCTTGTTTTTCATTTACCTTGCAAATAAAGGATAATTAGAGTTTATATCTACTGTTATGTATAGAATAGTTTATATTTCAATAAAATTGAGAATAATATAAAAAATATTAACATTTCTTACTCTTCTGTGACCCAGTTTCGCATTTATAAGCCATTTAAACCTTTCACACAGTTCCCATTCTTATACTTTTCTGTCCAAATTAAATATTTTATTCAAAATATGCAAGTATTTTATTCAACATTTTAGAATGTTGTAAAATAAATATTGGTATTTTAATATTTTTGAGATCAAGAAAATCCTGGATCCTCTCCTCTGTGGTTTATTAATATAATTTTTATTACTCCAAGGTATATCTTGTATTTCTTAAATATGTGAATATTCATCAGAGATTTGCTTTTTTCATATATTTCTTCATATATTTCATATATTTCTTCAAATCTTGTTATTTAAGCAATGTGTCACCAGATGGGACCTCTCATTGATGAAAAGCTGGAAGATATTGATAGGTAAAGGAACATGTGCTCTATCATGTATACCTTTGTTCCTAACGTTCTCTATAAACTATGTACTGAGATAGAGCTGCCATTTTAGTTTACTTTATTAATATTTTTATTTATTTTCTATTCTATTTTACTTTTTAATTTTTCTAGTCTATTTCATTTGATTTACTTTAAAAATTTTTTTTAATGTTTATTATTTTTATGTGCCAAAGGAACCAGTTCTTATTTATGTACTTGTGTTCTGCTAGATGTGGGAATTGGGATTAGACTCATCTCTCCCCCCCTTCTTTTTTTTTTTTATGTGAGGATTTATTTGACCTCACTTAAAAAATAATATTAGTATTTTTAAAAAATAAGGATTAACTATTATAATCATGTTTGCTGTGTCATTACCAAAGCCCAAATGACCCATCTGTTAATATCTAGGGAACCCTAGATATTTCAAAGTAAAGTCAAATACAGTAAACTCTCCCAGCACAGTACCTAAACTTTTGTTTTGATTGCCTTGCAGGCAAAATACAGGATATTTTCTGGCATGAGGTTAAATTTTTAATAATATCTACTTATACCACTTTTTGCTATTTTGCTGATTTTGATGTTTCTTATTTAGAACATTGTATTATTTAAATAGCAATTATGTTTCAGATTATTGTATAATATTTCAGAAAACATTCAGAACTCTCAGAACTTAATGTTAAAGTGATGGAGGCACTTTCACTGTACACCAAGTTAATGAATGAAGATCCAATGTATTCCATGTATGCAAAATTACAGAATCAGCAGTATTATATGCAGTCATCTGGTGTTTCTGCTTCTCAGGTAAGCCTTTAAAAACTCAAGTATATTATTTTAAATTCTCAAAATGTGAAACTTTCTACAAGTAATGTTTAAAATAAAAAATAGATTTTAAAAGAATCTTTTACTTGACACATACAATGTATAATACACAATTATATCAATAGTTCTTTTTAAAAAAAATTCTTTTTCTTCAGGGGTGCACATCAGACTCACCCATCAAGTTTTTTAAAAAAATACAGATTCTTTGGTGCCACCCCAGACCTATTGAATCAAAATCTTCAGGAGGGAGGCCTAAACATCTGTATACTTTTAAAGCTTCATATGTAATTATTTGGTTAAGAACTGCAATTTTTGTCTCAGTAAAATTTCTAATTGTTATAAATTCTTTTGAGTATCTATTGGTTTCAATTTTATAGTGAGCTGCTTTAAACAGATTTCCCTCCTTTGTTTACATAACACATGCAATGCAATACAGAGCCCTTTCCTTCTCTTCATCTCAAGCAACTGTTTGAAGAGTTTCTTTCCCAAAAACTCAGTAAGTTCAGGGCATAGGGATTAATTAGCCGGGCACTCCATTTTATCCATGTAGGGTGACACAAACATAGAATAGATTAGTTTTCTCTGAAATGAGGGGCTGGAACACTGGAGATGAGCAGCTAGGCCTGAGCAACATGTGGCTAGACAACACCTACTCATGGGCCTCAATACCACTGAACCAAAAAACAAAAAACTCTTCATGTTCAGTTTGCAAAGTGCAAAAAGAATGCATTTCCTTTATGAGGAATAGCTTTGTTTACAATGAAGACCTTTTGGATTCTGATGCATAGTGAGCCTTTCAGGCCTTAACCAAAGTTACTAAGATGATTGTTGTCTTCTCTCTTGCTGATTGTGTTACTCTGTTAACAACTGGTAAGGGCCTTACTACATGGATAGCAGAGTTCTATTCTCAAACATGTGAGATAGAGGGATCTAAGGAATACTACAGAAAACTAGAACATTGTGCATGTTTAAGACTTTGGGAATTTAAGGCATCAGTCTCTTTCGGTTCAAACAAGTAGTTTTTATTTTTATTTATTTATTTAATACTCACCCATGGATATGTGTATGGATTTTAGAGAGAGAGGAAAGGAGTCAGAAAGAAAGACAAACATTGATTGGCTGCCTCCTGTACATGTCCCTACTGAGAATCAAACCCTGCAGCCTTTTGGTGTTCAGAAGGATGCGCCAACCAACTCAGCTACCTGAGCAGGGATAGACATAGCTTTTAGATGCAGGAGTAGGCAGACAACGGCCCAAGAGCCAAATCCAGTCTCCCATCTGTTTAAATAAACTTGTATTGGAATACAGCCATTCCCTTTCATTTATGAATTGTTTCTGTCTGCTTTCAACATGGGTCAACTTCAGTAGTTGTGACAGAGACCATATAGCCCACAAAGCCTAAAATACTTACTCTCTGGACCTTTACAGAAAAGTTTGTTATGTGTTCAGTAAACAGTAATTTAAGAAATATAAATTGTATTTATAAGTAAATGCAGTCTGTTGATATAAAACAATGAATTTAAAGACACTTCTTAAACATCCTTTGGGATTCCTTTTAGAGAAGTACTACAAATATCAACATGAAAAAAGAGAATAATACTAGTATAAAGTTTCAAGATATGTTCCTTTACTGTTTCTGGATAGAAATAAAAATGAGTTTGGTCAGTGTTTACCTAAGAATAAAATCATCAGAAGCCAACTGCACTGAAAAATATTTTTTAAAATGCCTGTTAACAGAAATAACTATAAAAAAGATTTCAGGGGTGCAACTGTTCTTTTTGTCACTGAATGCCTCTACAAAGCGTTTGGCTTGCCTATTAAAATCTTAGAAAAATCTAATGTGTGTTATCATGAACTGTTCTAGGTGTATCCAGGGCCTCCTCAAAGCGGTGCTTACCTGGTTGCCGGGAATGCCCAGATGAGCCATCTCCAGAGCTACAGTCTTCCCCCAGAGCAGCTGTCTTCTCTCAGCCAAGGAGCACTTCCACCGTCTGCAAACCCAGGGCTTCCTAGTCAGCCGACTCAGGCTTCTTACCCTAAGTAATTTCATTATTGACTATTATTTGCAGTTAGTGCTATTAAAGTTTTTAAGTACCCCTGATCATTTGTAACCATAAGAACTGGATAAGAAAACTGTAACAGATGTCACTACTGATACCAGACAGCCCTGTTTGTGGTGATGAGTGGGTTCTACAGAAACCCCTACTGTGTTGCCTTCCTAGCTAGCAAGCTAGTCCTCTCTCTTACTGAGTCATTGAACTGCTGTATTTAGGTTTTAACTCTGTCATAATTTTGTTTTTTTATTTGAATATATGATGGTATTTGCTAAGGACTTTAATGAAAGTTTTAATAACTATATCATTTTTACAAATTTCATAAAAATCAAAATGTTTTTGTTATCATTTATTGTTCCAGAATTTATGGTTCTGGGCCATCTTTTAAAGACAAATATTTCCTTTTTTGCCCTGTGTTGGAATTTAGTATATATCACTCACTGCAGGATAAATCATCTGAAAAGAGACAGTACAAGAAGTTATTTGCCCCTGTAGTTCATAGGGCAAGTTTTTGAATATAATAATGAGTCTCTTAGGCCTTAATCAAAGTGTTACTGTAAGCATAAGTATTAATTAAGGTTGTGTTACTATCTTAATAGCTGGTAAGAAAAAGCCTTACTACATAGATAGTATTGCTCATTATTTTGGTCATTTACTTATAACGCCCTCTGTCATGTAACTAAATGATTTTACATTATGTAAAATAAATGCCCTTTCTGTTTCATTGTGAATCTTAGCTCAAAATGAAAGATAGCCTTTAGAGTTCATCAGTGTGTAATTCTAGAAGTCATGATATTCTGACTCAAAAAGAAGTTTCTTGGTGGCACAGGCGCAATTTCTAAAATCCTTTTCTTCAGTATTGGAGTTGCCATAGAATGCTCCTATACTGACCACTGTTGTTTTATTTTTCCTCAAAAGAGTCACACTCCAGAGATGCTTAGAGGTTTGCAAACATTATTTTGTGGTCCCATCTAGTATTGTGAAGTGATCTTAAGAAGGAGGGTAATAAAGGAGGCTGCTTATGACATCAAAAAACAGGGTACATCCTACTAAATAGCTCAGAAAAAAAAAATGTTCAGTGTAGCTCTTCTTTCCAACATTTTTTTTTAAGTTGAAATTTTGTGAAAATGAATACCCCTATATGGAAAAGAACCAAACAGGCAGGAAACAGCTATTAGAAGAGTAGCATGCTGTTTTGAAAACCAGATGCAAAAGGAGGAGAGGTGGATGTTGAGAAATCAGCCAGGGTGCATGAGTTATATAGGAATCTCTGAGATAATTTAGTGTCATCCAGAATTGCTCCCTCCTTCCCAGCTAGTCTTCTGTTACTGTGTCACATTCTGCACTAGCCACCTTGTTCCTGGAGATTATCTGAGATCCTTTATTAGTTCAGGACCTTGAGAAATTTCCTTGTAAATGAGAGAATCATTTGATAGGTATTTAAACATGCCATACTGTAGAGCTGCAACACCTTGTTACTCTTCTGTGGGACGTTTTCTGTCTGCTTTTGCAGTCCAGATGTGAAATATCTGGTGCGGGGCCTGCACTGTGTTCTGAAGTGTGACTGGACTCGACTGATACACTGTAGCTATTAATGTCATCTCTCAAGAACCACATGTGCACCACAACAGGTGCTTGTGTAGATAGAGCATTTCCTTGAAATCTTTAGCTCTCTTTGACTAATTCCTATTTATTTGTTCATAGCTTCGTTTTTACTAGAACCCCTTCCCACCACTCCAGCACTGTTCCACCTCTCTTACTGTCACAGGGCCCTAGCACACTGTGTACTGTCTTGTAATCGCCTTTAGACTTATCTGTATCCCCGTTAGGTTGTAGTATTTTTAGAGCTGGAGTGGAGTCTCTTTTACCTTTATATCAACACTGTGTAGCACAGGCTTTTACACCTGGTAGGAACTCAGTAAATATTTGATAAATAAATGTTTAAGATGAGAGCTCCAAGTGCTGTGTTAGGCCAGTAGCATATACTTTTAAATTGTTTACAAAGACTTCACAAAGGCTTCGAGGCAGTTCTTAAAAAGATATATAAATGTATATCATAATATATAAGAACAGTTACACAGGATGGGGCAAAAGTAGGTTTACAGTTATAAGTTCACGGAACAGTTTATTCTTGCAGTATTATTTATTATATTTTCCATTTGAAAAACTGTATTTGATTCAAGCTTTCTAATTGTAAATCAAGGTCAATTTGGATTTATTTTTTGTTTTTTTTCTATTTTGGTGGGCAGATTTTTTTTAGTGGCCCTACTTCATATGTAGGAGGTAATTCCTTATTTTTTTCATATAATTTTGGTGCTAGGGTTATCGCTTTTCCAGACTATATCACCTTAGGATAATCTTAATGACTGATTGAAAAAGGTAGTGTGGATGCAGTTTCCTAACCCACCTATAGTGATCATGGTGATGATAGTACTCAAGCAGCCAAAGCTATGTGTTTATTTGTCTGTTACTTCAGTTACTGTGTTAAACAGATGTTTATTGAACATTTAGTCTCTGCCAGACACTATGTTAGACACTTGACATACAGTGTGAGTTTCTCCCCCCCACTCCATCTTTATTGAGACATAACTGACATACAACATTATGTAAGTTTAAGGTGTAAGACTTAATTTGATACATTTATATATTGCAAAATGATTACCACCATAGCATTAGCTAACAACTCCATCCCATCACAGAGTTACCATTTTTTGATGGTGAGGACATACAAGATTTACTCAGCAATATTCAGGTGTATGATAGTAGTATTATTAGGTACAGTCAACGTGCTGTACATTAGATTCCTAAACTTGTTTGCCTTATGAATAGAAGTTTGTACCCATTGTCTAATCTCTCCCCATTTCTCCCACCCCCTAACCCTTGGTAACCACCACTCTATTCTGTTTGTCTTAATTTGACTTTTTTCCATTCCACATATATTCGGAAGTGAGGTCATGCAGTATCTGTCTTTCTCAGTCTTTCTTATTTTACTTAGCATAATGCCCTCACGTCTCATCCAAGTTGTTAAAAATGGCAGTTTTCTTTTTCTCATGGCTTAATAATATTCCATAGTGTGTGATATATGTATGTATGTATGTATGTACACTTATATCACATCTCTTTTACCGATTCATCTGTTGGTGGATGCTTAGGTTGTTTCCATATTTTGGCTGTTTTGAGTAACATTGCAGTGAACACAGGGAAGCAAATCTCCTATAAGATCCTGAATTCACTTCTTTGTCATATATAATCAGAAGTAGAACTGCTGGATCATATGATAGTTTAGTATTAAAGTTTTTGAGGAATCTTCATATTGTTTTCCAAGTGGATGCACTAATTTACATTGCCACTAACACTGAATAAGGGTTCCCTTTTCTCCACATTCTTGCCAACAATGAAACACTCGTTACCGCTTGTCTTTGATAACCATTCTAACAGGTATGAGGTAATGTCTCATTTTGGTTTTGATTTGCATTCCCCTCATGATTAGTGATATTGAACACTTTTTCTTGTCTTACTGACCATTTGTCGTCTTCGGAAAACTGTATTCAGTTCCTCTGCATCTTTTTAACATGGCTGTTTCTTTCCTATTGAGTTCTGTAAGTTCTTTATATATTTTGGTTATTAATCCCTCATTAGATGTATGATTTGCAAATACTTTCTCCTATTCCATAGGTTGTATTTTAATTTTGTTTCTTGTATCTTTTGCTGTTCAGAAGCTTTTTAGTTTGATACAGTCCCAGTTGTTGATTTTCTCCTTTGTTGCTTGTGCTTTTGCTGTCACATCCAGGAGATCACTGCTGAGACCATTGGCAAGGAGCCGTTTCCCTGTTTTTTATTCTAGGTGTTTTATGGTTTCAGGTCTTAAACTTAAGTATTTAATTCATTTCAAATTCCTTTTTTTGTGTGTGGGTAGTGTAAGACAGGGATCCAGTTTCATTCTTCTTCATGTGGTTATCCAGCTCTCCCAGCACCATTTGTGGAAGAGACTCTGCATTCCACACTGAGTATTCTTGGCTCCCTGGTCATATTAGTTGACTTTTGATTTAGAATTCTTAGCCTCCATATGCTTACAGGCTAGGAGAGTAAACCATACAAATAACATGTAATTATAACACAAATTACAAATAAAGGTACATGCAAGGTGCTTTAGGAGCCTAGGGGTTCAGGGAAGATTTCTAAGAGAATAAGCTCAAGCTGTGTTATTCCTAACCTAGAGGGGAAAAGTAAGAAAGATTTTCTATCATGAGCAAACATATGGCAGTATGAAATGGCATGGTACCCATGGGGAATTATGAAAAAGCATGTTACCAAAGGATTAGTCTGTGGTGGGAGAAGTGAGAAATACACTTGGAATTATTGACAAAGATAATGAATGATCCTAGGAATCATGTTAAGGAGCTGGGGTTTTATCTGTGAAAGCCTATAAAGGCATTTAAAGGGTGATAAGATAGGTGAATTCATAATTTCTAGGTTAGAAGCTGGGAGACTGTATTAGACAAGAAATTGAGTGTCTAACTGCAAGATAAAATGATAGAGATTGTAAAAGTTGTTTAGGAGATTAGCAAATGGTTTCATGTGGGTGACAAGGTGGGGACAGTGCAGAGGAGATATGAGAGAGAGAAGTATTGGGTGACTTGCTGGGTTTTGCCCTGGGGCAGCTGGGTGAATGGTAGAACTGTAAGTTGAGATAAAGAATATAGTACAAAGTGCAAATAATTACAGTAATAGCTAACATACTGTGATGTTTAGTAAGTGCTATGCACTGTACTGTATGCTTTATACATATTAACTCATTAATAATCTGTGAAGCAGTAGGTGCACTGTTATTGCATGTTATAGATGAGAAAACTGAGGCCTGGAGGGAGGACCCAGGTTCCACTCAGCCAAGATACAAAACCAGGCATTTTGGCTCCAGAGTTTTAGCGCTTAGTCCCAACATTGTGTTAGAGCCGTATTGTAGCCCTTACGGATGCAAATAACTTCATGAAATCTAACTTCTTGTAATACTTTTTTATTTAACAAAGCAGCGCATATGGAATGATAATGTCTTTAAGCATTACTTAAGTGGCTGCATTAGTTGGTGTAATGTAGCACTAAAGGACCATCAGTTATAGTAATGAATTGTTTAATTTGTGCAGAATGCTAGGGCATTGAGCTTACCAGCAATTGATTTATAAACAATCTAGCAATTGAAGAAAAGTTTAGAAACAGGCAATACTTTGAAAATTGCCTGTTGTGTAGTTTTAATAGAAATGTGGGGACAATCTGAATGTTAAAGCTGTTACCATTTCCTTTATATACCTAAACTAGTGCTTTATAAATGGTAAAAACTCAGATATCAGGCTGGGAATGGGAAGGAGGAAGCAGAGACAGTGAGTAAAGACAACTCTGAAGGAATATTTTTGGTGGACCGGAGCAGTACACCAGTGGAGGGCGTCTTGCATGGGAGCACTGACAGCCGATGAGTTACCGCAGGAGGGAAGGCACAGCATATGATTGGGTGTAGGAACAGATGGTCGATCAGTGTGGTGGGAGTAGATGGAAGGTCTCTCTTATTTGGTTCTATATTTTCAGGGAAATAAGAAAAACAAGGTTATCAGACTGTCATCTCCTGTACTCTACCAGAGCTGCTCTTGTCAAGAACTGGATTTTCATATTGCTAGATCCAATGGTCACTTCTTTTTTGAAATACATTCTTTACTTGGCTTTGACCACTCTTTTAGTTTTTCTTCTACTTTTCAGTCTGCTTTGTCACTCTTCGTTCTTCTTTGCCTAGTGCTTCTCTATTTTCCTGACTTCTAGGGGTAGGGCTCAAAATATGGACTCCTTTTTTCTCTGTGATCATTCCCTGGGGATTTTATTTAAGCCCACGACTCTAAATACCAGGTTTATGCTGATGATTCCCAAATATCTGTTTCTGATCCTAACTCTCCCCTGGTCTCCAGACTTAAATAGCTGACCGTCTGTTTATTATGTCTTCCTGTACACCTCCTAGGTATCTCACTTGACATGTCCAAAACTGCTGATTATCCTTGCCCAAATTTACTGTAATCCTTATCTGCCATCTGTTGTCATTTTCAGTGAATGGCCATTCTTTTCAGTTATTTGTACGTGTAGTACAGTTCTAAAACCTCAGGCATTCTTGACCACTAGCAAATTTGATGGCACTGCCTTCAAAATCTTGCCCTTTCCTCTCTTCTTCATCAGGTTCACCATGGCCTCAGCCACCTGTCAGCTCTTACTTGGACAGTTGTAATAGCATCCCGTTGGGTAATACCTCAGTGAATCATGTTCATTTCTTCTGCCCAAAATCAACCAGTGTCTTTCCGTCCCACTCAAATATAATCCAGAATCCTTGCTGTGGTCTTTACGATTCTGTATATTCTAAGGCTTCTTGCCCCCTTAATTCTGCTACTGTAGCGTATGCTGCTCTCCTTTTTGCTCACTCTTTGGACATCATGACCTCCTTTCTGATCCTTGAACATGTCTGGTATTTTCTTTTGTTGAAGGCCCCTTTGCTTCATCAGCTGGTTTTCCTATATAATTGACATGACTCCCTCTTTCACTTTTTTCAGGTCTCTGCCTAAATTTTTCCTTATCTGAAATGCCTTCTCCTACCACACTGTATAGAAGGGAGAATCTCTTGCATAGTAGGAGGACCAAGGGTTCCTAGGACTTTATTTTTCTTCATACCAGTTATTACCATTTGACATATTAAAAAATACTTTTTTCTCCTACTAGAATGTAAACTTCACGACAGTGGACAGTGGGGACTTTTTTTTACTATTCCAGTGCCTGAAATAACAAGTTTGACTCATTATGGGTATTTAATAAATATTTATTGAATGGTTTGAATGAATTTTTAATGAATAGCTTTTCCTGTTTATCTCTAAATGGGTATGGAAGTCAATATTGACCTAACTGTTTTTTCCCTTCACAGCACCATGGTCACTTCTGTTCAAGGAAATACATATCCCAGCCAGGCTTCAGTGTACAGTCCTCCTCCTACTGCTGCCGCTGCTGATGTCACTCTATACCAGAATGCAGGAACTAATATGTCCCACGTGCCAAACTATAATTTAACATCCTCAGCGCTGCCTCAGCCAGGAGGCAGTCAACAGCCACCTCAGCCACAGCAACCGTATTCTCAAAAGGCTCTGCTATAGGATTCGGGATTCCTCTTTGATCTGCAAAATGCCGCTGACAATGTTATGCATTTCTTTGATATCTTAAGGTTCGTTTATCCTCAGCTTATAGGAATCTTTCTTGGTCAACAAGTTCAAATATTCAAGAAGTTAGGACTCTCTGCAATTTGCACTGACTTTTTAGAGGTTCTCCCCTCCCCCTCCTTAGAGGAATGAAACTACTTACAACATTTAATTCCTTTCATAATATGAAAGAATTGATAAAAGATTATTTGTCTCATAAAATTACCTGATCTGCAAAAAGTCAAACTTACAAAAATTGTTGTGGCAAATGTTATGTACATATATTGCTATGTAACTTCATTAGTGGCCATTTTGAATCACAATGGTGATCATGTGAATATATTTAACACTGTTAAATTAATTTACATTGCTATTTTATTTTAATCATGAACAACTACCATGTTTCATAATGTTTTGTGTGAATTTAAGCTAATTACACTATCCTTTTAAACTGCAAGGAACAATGCTGTAACATATTTACATGAAGGCATTATGTTGTCAAATGTTTTCATTTTTACATTAAACTTTTCCTTTGCCTGATTGTGAGATAAACATATGTACATTATATCTTTCTGTAGCCTCTGCATACTACTAGCTGTCATTACACCAGCATACAGTAGCTAAATTTTTGGTGCAATTATAGCAAATGATGTTCCCTTTTAAACTTAGACATTTTGGCATGATATTTCAGAGTATTGTGGGACCATGAGACAAATTGATAAGTAGGATCATGTTCTTTATATCTTATTTTTAAAGGAATAATGTTGGTTTACTTTTTTTCCTTGTTGAAGACAGTAATTAGGTTTATAAACTGTATACTGTGTTTATTGGTGGCAGTGACACCAAAGATAGAGGCAATGGATAGAAGTTTTTAAACTGGAAAGAAACCATGAGAAACACTACATTTTCAAAGTCTCTTGTAATTGTTTAGGATATTAAAAAAAATTGATTCATTTGTCTTATTCCATTATTAGTCTTTTAAATATGTCTTTAACACATTGTATCCTTTAATTCTTCATTAAAATCGATATAAGCAGATGTTTCAAAGTAATCAATATTCCTGGCTTTGCTTAACAGTTTGTATGTTTGTTCTTACCTTTCAACCTGGATGAGGCTGCTCTCTCTCTCTCTATTTTTGGAGTTCTGATGGAATTATGTTGGCTTCCTATTCAGGAGTATTTTTCAATGAATGCTTTTTTGTTTTTTTTTTATCCACATGAAATATGTTTTCCACTGACATTTTAATCTCCTTAAGTATTCATAATTTTCCTGGTTGTACTGTACCATCAACTGAAAAGTCAAGCATCATATTAAATGAATTAATTTAACAGATTTCAAACCATAAATGAAAATTTAATTTTCGTTTTCTGAGACTGTTATAATCAGATAACATTTTTCCTTCCCTTTTGACAAGTGATTCCATCTTTGTCAAAGAATCTTAATGGTGACTAAATTTTAGTTACAAATTTAAAGCACGATCTTTAACGTAAGTGTTCTACTGCAGTGTTGTGTTTTCCTGATTTTAGAGTGTGTTGCCTTCAAATAGAAATTTTTAAATTTGAATTCAAAATTTACATTTAAAAAATTTTAATATGTAGTTTTTTTAAAAACATTGTCAGAGTGTAATCTTTATTCCAATTTAAATATTCTATCTGATAAACATTTTTCCCATCATACTGTATTTTTGTCTTTTTGATAAATTTCTGCTTACCAGTGGCAAGTATATCATTTCCCCATTTTATCTTAATATCCTTCATGCTTTCTTTCTGTTAATATACTTCAATTACATATTCTCTCACTTGCTTTTTATTATATAAAAGTCAAAGAATGGTAAAATTGAAGAAAGCTACCCTTATCACAATATGTATACATTTTTAAACTTGTATTAGTACGCTTAAAAAGGTTTTAATGATGGATACTTAATACTGGTACTATAGTAGTTTGTGCTTTTCATTTGTTAGCTATAAAAATACCCGATGGAAAAATTCCAATGAGAAGAAACCACTGGATTTTCTATCTTTTAGATGACATGGCAAGGACAGAAATAGGGCAGGACCGGTTAGGAGCACAGTGATTTTGTTCTGAGCCCAGTGTTTTGTGTGTTGTACTTTCAAAAAAAAAAAATTCTCTAAAATATGACAATCTTTTTAAAAAAAAAGTTTATAAAATGAACTGAGTATAATGTGAATTTCTGTGAAGTAAATTTTACTTCTCAATTTATTTTCTTCATACAGTGTTAAGTGTAGCCATAAACCAATGATAGCTAAATAAAAAAATGAAGTTCAGTTACTATCTGGCATAAATAGCTAACAAATGCCATGGCCAATTGGACGTGATAATACAGCAATGCTTTAAACTTGCTAGAAGTAAAATGTACTATATTACTTACTGTGATTTTACAGTGTTTCCTAACACTGCGGCCCCCTTCACTGGCACCAGTCCTCAGTGAGGGACCTCTTTATATTAAGAACCTCTGGAGCTTTATTTGTATACCTCTTAATTTTTGTACTTAAAATGCTTAACAGACCACTTACATTGTTTTTTGATAGTTTTCATATATGACATGTACAATTCAGCTTGAAAATATTTTTAATCCAGAATTTCAAGTTTATATAAGGCAAATTAGTACCCTTTATGATAAACTATGCAACTATAAAAACTATATACATTACTTGTTAAAATGAAGTCCATTGATGTAATTTGGTTATATTTTTATCTGCTTAGTACAGAAAGAGCAGTTTTCCTTTTCTCATACAGACACCCTTGGTTTACTTAGCCAATTGTGCTAATAAATATAGTTTCCTGTTATATCACTTTTAAAATATTTAAGACTATAGCTTAAATTTTTCACTGTTGTATCATTGTCTAATATTTTTATTTTTATATTTGTTGATTAACTGTGTATACCCCTTAGAATAAAATATATAGAAGTTACCTAAATAGTTTCTTAAAGGCCTATGTTTAGTTATATTTTGTTTTACAACAGTGGTTTGATTAAGTACCCTGGTCAAGTATCTACATTATTTTCTATACTATATGTAATGTCCCCTGGTTTTTAAGTGCAGCTGTCTGAGATTTATGTATTCTCTTTTGGTATAATCTTCCTTTAAAATTATAAAACTTAGTAATTTGTTCTAAAGATTTTTAGCTTCAACAGTTTTTTTAATGATATTCTAGAGCATTTTAAATCTCAATGTTTAAAATCTTAGATTTTCTTGCTGAACAAAATTTAATGTTTTATTGGTGATAAGTTATGGTCATGGTGAACTTAGATGCTTTTCGGACCTTAGCTTATACTTTCCATTACCATCATTGTCTGTTTGCTGCTGCTTATAGACTCACAGAATTCTGATAAGGATTACATGTTAAAATAATAAGAGTCAGCAGCCCCTGGATGAAAAAGTAAAAGGTACTGGTTTTAATGGTCTTTTGGTGGTCAGACACTTTTAAAAAAGTAGTTTTGTGATACCTTCATCAGTAATGAATATTTTTACGTATATAGCCTCAAAATATGTATGTGTGTATGTATTTAAAAATTTACAAGTTCTTTGTAAATATATATTGTACATTTTAAAACACTAAAAAAATAGAAGTCTTGAGTGAAAAAATTATTAATAGATCAAATATTTTTTCCCATATATCTGAATCTGTTAGTCTATACCCTAAGATGTGTATAGGCCCTATTTGGACACCACTGTTTTAGATGTTATGATTAAACAGAGAAACGAAGTAGGGTATTAACTAAATTGGCCCTTTGAAGTAAGTATCTGATGCTGTGTAAGTGGTGCTTTTCCCAGCAAATTTTTATGTTAAGGATTTTCAGATCTAGAGAAAGATTGAAAGAATAATATATTGAACACCCACATATTCTTTGTCTAGATTCACTGATCAACATATTGTCACATTTGCTTTCTTTGTTTACATATACATAGGTACATGTTTATGTGTGTAGTTATCGCCTATATATATATACACACATAATTATGTGAATAGACAAGTTATAGACATTGTAAACTATACTCTTAAAGATTTCATCATGTATCTTATGAGGATAAGTACATTCTTCTAAGGATAAGCATTGGGTTGGCCAAAGAGTCTGTGGTTTTTTTTCCTGTAAAATAAAACACCCATTTTTCATTTTCACCAGTAACTTTATCGATTTGGGTTTTTTGAGTATGTCTGTGATTTCCCACGTGATAGAATGTTTATTATTCTCAATTAATGTCTCAGTTTGATTGCTGTCAACTTCCACTGTTCTCCGCAGTGGTGGAGCATGGTCCAGCAAGAAATCTCCAGCACAAAACTTTACAAACCACTATAGACACATTTGGTCAGTCACAGTCTCTCCCGTATACTGCACAAATCTTTTGCACTTCAGTTACGTTTTTACCTTTCTTGACATAAAGCATAATATGTTTTATAATATAAAATGTTGCGTATTTTCTTCAATCTTCAGTATTAAAATGACTACACAAGAATCACCAATTTTGATACTTTTTTTAAATGCATCTGATAAGACAACTATCACAATACAATCTAACAAAATTGTTTCGAACGAAGTTAAAGACAACTGTACTAGAGCCATCTTACGGAGAATACCAAACGAACTTTTTGGCCAACACCAATACACAGTCTTGTATGTCATGATGGAAAATCACAGGGAAATTGTTTTCAAAATATTAAGGCAAAGAGGATAGATTAATAGCTAAAGAAGCTGAGTTTAGGTAATTTTAGTTTTTTCAAAAGGAAACATTTTGAGATAAAAACTCTGAATTCAGTGGTATTTTCCAGTTTTGACTAAGAGGTAAGTATTAAAGTATCCTGATCTAAATTACTGTGTTTAATATCTTTTGAAAATGATATTTCTGTATATCATTTTTATTTAGTAACTTAGAGCTTTTTAATCAAATGCTGCTTATATCTCATTTTTTCTTGGTATTTATTCCAAGAGCTATTGTTTGAGAATTGTAAAATTCTGTACAGAATGCTTACAATCAACATAAGAGAAACCTGAACATCGGCCGTGGTTTCTAGCAGATAACTCTTGTGTATTGGACTTGAATTATAATGTTGATGAACTGGAGCTCATAGTAGAATACAGTGAATTGTGCAGTAATGCACGTCAGTCTTGTCAGTGTCACTGTGCTGTGCGTAATTGTGAAATAAAAAGCCCGCGGGTTTATGGGGAAAGGGGTTAGAGGCACACCGCCAGCAAGTGAGCAGTGACACACTTAAGAATAAAGACGGGAACCTAATACAATGCACGGTTTTACACGTTAAATGGTTAATAAATACATGAATATTACAATAAATTTGGCACTTTACCTTGGAAAGAAAACCTGAAGTGTGCCTATGGAAGTGCGTGTTGGAAAGATTGTATCTTTTGAGTTACTGTGAACGCAAAAGGAAGGACTACTGAAACTGGAGGTCAGGTTCTGACACCGGATGTGGGTGCGTTTAATTCAGGCTTCGCAGTGAACCTCCCGAGGGTACTGGTGGCGGGGCGGGGGTGTATGTGGTGTGTGTGCCGGCATATCTGGGTGCAGTTTTCTACATTTCACCTAGTATTTCTCCTGGACAAAATCATGCATAAACAAACTGAAATTTGCATTTTGCTGATATTGTTTCCCTAGTATATAAATCTACAACATGTTTGTGTTTTCCAAACAATTCTTATATCAAAACTGACTCTGAAAGGTATTTAGAGACGGAGACTGAGTGGCTATTCACCATTTCTAACTTTAGAAACATACCTTTTATATTTTTAAACAATTGATAAGAATGAAAGACATCTAGGATACAAAACCTCCTTTCCTCTTACCACATCGGAAAGTATCCAAATAAACGTGAGCACAAAGAAGTATGTACTTTGCTTAAATTCAGTCTTTTGAGCAATTATATGCCCTACAATCCTGCCCTCTCCCTTGCACCCCAAAAAAAGAGAAGAGGAAAATTAAGGATAACCATTTTCTGAGTAAAATGGGTTTAGCCATTATGTCATTTTCATTGATTTTTGATTAACAATAAGCCTGTTCTTTGATTTGGTTGGCTTTTGATTGTATCCCTGATTTTCAAGATTTACTAATTGCTTTCAAAACTTTGACATGTCAAACCACTAGATAGGGTGGGTATTTAAGTATTTAAATATCTTTACAAGTCAGAAAATAGGAATGTAAATTATTTACAAATATCAATAGATAAGTTAACTAAAA